TCTATTATATACTGTATATAGTTGACAGTGTCCTATATATTCTCGTATACACACGGTATTTTCACGAACAATCGAAACACTTTCAAGCAGCGCAGAAAACTCACCGAGAGCCGCGTAATTAAATCCATTGTTTTAATTCCGTGGCGTTTGTCACTTATTACGCTCCGAAATGCGACTGCCGTCAAATTCGGCGCCGCCGCAGAGTACAACTATACTTCCTTTCTGTCCCTTACATGAAAGAAAGCCTCAGTCGCTTTTTTAAGACGCTAACTCCGAATTATTCTTTCTTTTTATTTTTATTTGACAAGAAAGTGAAAAGGAGTCGTAGTCAAGAGTATCACCGTCCCTCTTAGAACTGACAGTCTTCAGAGTCTTGAGCCGGCTCAGACTGGATTTTTTTTACCCGAACTACGAGGGGATATCCGAAAATTTGATTGAATCTACACACGTTGGATTATCACTCATTCGTTTTATTCCCTTCTTTATTCAACCTGAGGATATGTGGGTAATTTTTTTTTAAAATCATGATTCGAAAGCAGTGGAGCAGGTTCAACAAGTGAATGCCTCATTAATTTCTACATGAGTGCTATACATGCATATTCTCACTCTCGAAGTCTCGAATAATTAAAGTACAGTGGTGTGGTTAGTGAAGACTTTTATTAGTGGTGCTCCGCGGGGAGTTCTTTGGGGCTCCGTGACTGCTCAAGGAAAGATAAATAATTAAATAAAATGTTAAGAGAAGTATAATTTTACAAAATAAGAAATTCCAAGGCCATGCATGCGTAATCATTCACAACTAATACCCGTATCCTAGTTTCAGTTTCATGAAGAATTTTAATACGGTATTGCTAGAAAAAACTAAATCGAAAATTTTTATCGGAGCCTAACTTTCGCCCGAATTCAATTGTTCTTAAATTTTTTCATTTCCTCAGCATCTGATGGTAAATTTTAGCTGCTATATAATTCTTTTAAATGCATATATCCATGGGAAAGCTTCTGAATATCCAAACTCTCCTGAACTGATTCGCCTATGATGCCCACGTACAAATCTTTGACGCTTGGGAATTTTGTTTGCCCTCATAATATCACCCGGACTCTAATTGCTTGCTCCTTTTGTTGTTGAAAAAAATGGTAAGTGGAACTCGAGACAATTATGGTATACTGATCATCGTAGGCAAGATTTATTTCTCATCAGTTCCTCAATTTTTAGGGATAATCATCGTCATGATTCTACAGTTTTATGGAAGCCCAATATTTTCCCTCGTGGTTTCGCATTTATTTCCTCTTTCAGTTTCATCTATACTTCAGCCCGTGAAAAGTTTGGAATACAGCGGTTGAAATTGATTTTACCATGGACGCAATGAAATATTCAATTTTTGAAAAGTGTTTCAAGCAGCCTCTTCATACTTGAAATGGACGAGGTTCACGGACAAAATCCGCTAATTTCTTTAAAATCGAGGGGCATGAAATAGCTTTATAGTATTTTCGTAAATCACATTGAACTTTGAAAAGTGTTTCAAGCAGCCTCTTCATACTTGAAATGGACGAGGTTCACGGACAAAATCCGCTAATTTCTTCAAAATCGAGGGGCATGAAATCGCTTTATAGTATTTTCGTAAATCACACTGAACACAAATTGAAATCCTTTTCAATATGAGGAGCCTTTTACTTCAATAAAATTATGTAAAAAACTATATAAGGATCACAAAAATAAGTGGAAGTAGTACAAAGACCAGTAAAATATCCGTGTATTAATTGAAAATAATGCGAAAACATCGTGAAGGAAAAATTTTAGAAATTTCCCCTCGAAGATCATGTTTTTTCATAGCTTATACAATCTTAATTCAAATACATACAGTGCGAAGCCTCACGTTACTGATTTTAAACATTACTGATTTTAAAATGCATTACATCATGACCTTAACGATAAATACAACTTCTGCAGATTAATATACAAATGTGCGTGTGAAGAACTGAAGATACACTGAAATGGTTTATAATAACTGCACTTGAAATGTATGAATAAATGTTATTGATTGAATTGTTTTTTAATATTGCAAATTAATATGCTGCTGAAAGCAGTTAAAGTACTGTACTTGATCGTCAGCTAGATGAGGGAAGTAATTTAAATTACCCCGCCTTCTCATAAACTTATTTGAATAAAAACTTTGAAAACCATTGGATAGGAATACTTTCCTGTCCTACAGATAAATCAAAATTTGAAAACCATTCAAAAGTTTGATCAACTATCCAAGTTTTGAAAATGAAACTCGCTGGTTAAAAACTAAATAATCTACCTGGATGTTCTCAAAAGTTAGGGAGGGTAATTTGATTTTTCAATGCAAATTTGGAATTCATGCTGGTGTTTATTGACGAGTTCGTAGGTATTATTTTTTTTAATTTTGCACAATATTTGGTGGAAATACAATACGTTAGAAGCTACATTTATCGTCTGTTATATTCTTCATCATATGCACTTATTCACCACAGTCGGGAAATTTACGTCGGTCCCCTTTATGGAGATGCTTTCAAAGTGTGTCAACGAAGCTATAGGGAGATGATTAGTTGGATTTTAATCACTTGAGTATCTGACACAGTTCGTTGACATTTCTGGTCGCATCGGGTCGCACTTAAAATCAATTGTGTTCCACCTTCCAGAGAATAAAAAAAAGAAAACGAGAGAGAGATGAAATAGGTGTTTCCATTTTCTTTTATTTTCTTTCTATGAAATCCTTTCCTTAATTGATTAGCTCTTGAAACAAACAAAAGCTTTCGCGCCGACGAATGAATGAAAGGGTTTTCCCGAGCAAATGCTGTTCATCGTGGGAGCTGACGATTTGCTTTCGGTCATTTTTCATGACTAGGCACTTCCGAAAAAATCGTTTAATTTTATTTAATATCTTCAAGTCGAGGATTTTACGGATTTTTTATCCAATTAAAGTTACATTTGGAAGGATGACAATCTCGTTCCTCTTTTATGCTGGATCATACAAATTCACACATAAAAATGCACGAAGTTTCTATAAAATGCTTTCTACTTGTATTCCGACTCCCCGACCTGGCTGTATACGATATATGACCACCATCAAAAGTACTGCATTATTGTGCTAAATCATTAAATGTGACAGAATAAAATGCCTGATCAAAGAACCTGGATATTGAACAACTTCCTGCTCAACAATCAGAATACGGAATAAAATAAATGGACTGTAAAATTTATTGCGCCGATTCTGAAGTCTGAAAACTGGAACAAGTCGTTGTTGCTATATTAAATTTGATTCGATATCTGCTCACAAAAACGTGAGTGGTTATTTATCTTACTGTACCTACGAACACAGCCGAATACAGCGTATGAAACCCACTTAACCTCAATCGTACTGTGCATAGAAATTTTAATCAGATTGATGTTCGAGAATCCAGATAATTTTTTAATTGAAAATTAGACTTGTTCATCAGTAGGTGATTTACAGGGTGGGTAAAAAAAATGAACTGATTTTTGAATTAGCATGTCTTCAGTAAAAATTAAGCTACAACAATGAAAAAAACACCAAATGAAAGCTTATGCAATGTTCTTTCAAATAGTCATGTCATCAGTCACAGAAGCTGTTTCAATAAAAAATTTCAAAAAAACATTTTTTTTTCATGCAACTCTTCCAGCTAAGCTGCTGTCTACAAAACCACCCTAAAATCACCTTAAAATTAGGAAAACGCACATTCTCTCTGGACCGTGGCAGGATTTTTAAGCATTGCTATATGTTCACCCAGGCATGATTCTTCTGGCTCATCTTTCAATGAATGTTCAGTGACCTCACTGGATGGGTTGTCTGGTGGCATGATTTCCTGCGTCCTGGGGTTTTTGGGTGCAGGCGCATGATGATTTCTGTGTTTCCTGCTGTTTTTTGCCCAGGTGGGTTTTTATGGACTTATTTATTTTCCTCTCTGTATTTACATTTGTTTTTGTTTTTGGTGCACCAATGTGGGTTTTCCTTATCTTGAGGTAATTTTTGGGAGGTTTTAGAGACAGCAGCTTAGCAGGAAGAGTTGCTGACAAAATTTTTTTAAAGTTTTCATTCAAACCGCTGTTGTGACTGTTTGATGAAACTTAGGACTATAAAACAGAAAGACTACTTGAAAGAGAATTGAAGAACATTTAATTTGGTATTTTTTTAGCTTAAGTTTCAACAGAGATATGCTAATTCAAAAATCTGTTCATTTTTTGGCCCACCCTGTATACTTGCACGTGAAAATAATTTTTAAAGGGAAAATTTGTCGACAATGTGCAAAAATATACGATCTCTGTTACTCAAAAACATTCGCCATCGAATTTCTGATTTCAAATTTTGAAAGGCTTCCAAGCTATTATTCTATGCACCAAAGAACTAGAATAAGAGCTCTAAATAATTAACTTGATCCTTTAAAAAAAAGCGAATGAATAATCGAGCAAAAATTAAACTGGCCTCCATGTTCAGCACCGTGTCAACTCCAGCATTCTAAAGCCTAGAAGATCACAAGTTTTACCTTCCTGCGTAATTCCAGATTTTTCTCCCAGCAAAACTGCGAGTTTTGCTAACTTGGAAATTTAATTCCTCGGTCTATTTGGGTCCCTGAGTTCAACTGCAAGAGGTTTGACTGTACAGACCGACAGACGTACAATTTAACCATGAACATCACTTGTAAAAAATGTGGAATTTTACTTCTGAAATGAAATAGCACAAACCGTTTTGGACACAGATTACAATAGCTCAGAGCATGCACATTGGTCTGCTTCTTCATTTACCCCATGAATTTGAAAGACCGTTAATCGTCTATCCTGAAAGAATGAGTGATCACAGTGAGAAATTAAAGACGATCATATTTTTTAAAAAACCAGAGATTGCATTTATTTGGTAACAAGGAAGTCCAGCAGAGGCAACGAATTCATGCGACAAAACACAGCACGGAATTCTATAACAGCGCAGCCTTCGCGGACATTCAAAAAAAAAAAAACAATAACCTAGGAATGCTGGATCATCATCATCATCATCACTTCCGGGCGTCTTCGTCGTCCGTCGGCGGGAACCAAACCGCCACCGGTTTACTTGTCTTCGTCTTCAAAGCGACGCCGCTGTTCCTCAGTCCGTCCTTCGATGTTTCTTTCCCGACGACGTTTTCTTTTTTCGCGACGTTGAAGAGTCTTTCTGGCGCGAGCCGGAGTTGTCCGTTCGCGATTTGGAGCGCGAGCTGGACGAGCTCTTCTTGCTCGTCGACCGTTTGCCCGACTTGCTGCTGCTGGACGAAGTCTTCCGCCGTCGGTCCTTGGACGACGACGACGTTTTCCGCGACGTCCTGCCGCCGCCGCCGCGACGGCGATCTTCGTCGCGATGCTTGTCGCGTCGCGAGCGAGACGAGTCGTCGCATGAGCGCGAGGGGCGAGAGCAGTCCCGTGAGCGTCGACTGCCGCCGAACTTGCGACCGCTCCTGGCAAAAGCAAAACAAAACATATGAGTACAAACTTGAATACGATTTTTAGGGGGAATTTATACTTAAATCCCCTCAACATTTAACATACACTTTCCCGGGACATTCCGATTATCTTTTTTTTTTTCGTAGAATGATGAACATATTGCGTTGGATACTAGTTAACGGAGTTCTTCGACACGTTGCAACTCATGAAGATATTTGTATTCTTTTATTGTCTTTGGCGAAGTCCTTGACGTGATAGAATCAAGTGGTCGAGACATTCACGCCAGCCAAATCATAGTCTGATAATTATCTTCCAAAAGTAGCATCTCATCACATCGAAGCGTTTGGGACCTGAATAAACTTCGTTTTCAACAAAAATGCGTTGAAACGAAATTAAATCGCTTGGTGGCCATTGAACAGGGACTAAAAAACCAAATTCATTGTAAGCATTGAACATATCTGCGTTCCGTCGAAAATATTTTGAAGAAATTACCTTTTTTGAATCGAGAAGTTATGATCTGAGAAAATAAATTTTGGCTTTCAACAAAATTCGCCTCAGAATAATGCAGAAAAAACTGACCGAATCTCCCATACGTTGCATTTAAATTAGAATTTATGTGACCCGCCATTTAAAATCAATTTTGTTGACATGAGATCGGGATTTTCAAAAGACTAGAATTGTGATAAATATCCAAAAAATTCCAGTAATAATTACTTGATGTTCGGGGAATCAGGAGGAATTATCAATTCCAATTTCTTATTCAGTGTGAATATCAGAAGTTGAGACAGGAGAAATAAATAATTCAGAGTTACACCGTCATTTGGGATACGTCTCGGTGAATCGTCAGTTTCTGAAAAATACGAATAAATCCTACAAGAACGCGTAATTTTTATTTTTGGAGAAATAAGGTTTATGTTTTATCTTCTCAGATAATAAAAAAACGTTATGTCTGCTCTGATGACATCAAAAGTCGCGGGAAGGGAACACGTGATTTCACACGCGACATCTAGGAAAAACTTCGAGAAGTGCATGACCCTGAATGCATCACCTTAATCAAGTTAATCTCCGCCATTCGTTGAGGTAAATGCAAGTAAAAAAAAAATATATACAAAAATGAGCCTCGCTAAAACCAAAAACGTGACAACGCACCGGTCCTTGCGCAGGGTACTAAACCTTCGCACCTTCTTGCGTCGGCGCAACGGCGCCGGCCGCACAGCCACCGGCGACGACGAAGAGAAGCTCAAGCCGCCGCCAAACTGCGGCCGCCGAAGCCTGCCGCCGCCATTGCGAACAATGTTGCCGCCACGGTATCCTCGCCTGTAGCCCATCCTGTGCTCGATGGCGGGTTGGTCGCCGACGGAGCCGAGCCCGTTTGACCCCATCAGGTCATCGTTCGCTGCTGCTGCTGCCGCCGCTGCCATGATGTCACTGTCGTAGAGGTCGTCGTAGTCATTGGCTAATCGTCGTCTCACGAACGGTGTGGGGTCATCTTCCAGGTCGAACACCAAGGCTAATGACGAGGACGCCACTGCCGCCAGCAGTGTCTGTCGCACACAAAAAAAATAATCAATTAATCGACGGAAAAAAATTTGAACCGCTAGCAAAAAAATTAATAGAATAATTGCATTCATAAGTAAACGAGAGAGTAACAAGAATGGATAAGAATCATGGGAGGAAGAATATCTCAAAAACACAGTCGACGAGTAACTTCTCCTGAAGAAGTAAACTACTGTACATTTTTATAAATATTTTTTTTTAATTCCTCGGTCTCTATACACAGCATCAAGTTATACAAGCAACCAAAAAATTATATACTGTGACGCATGTGTGTCATATTCTGCTTTAAAAACAGTACAGTATCAAACCATCACGAGCACTCGAAAACCCCCGCACCACGCTTCGACGTATATAACCGACATATTCCTCTCACTCAATATTTTTCGCGTTTTCTTCTTCCGGAAGTTTCCTTCAAAAAAACAAAAAACCCTCACACGCCTCCAAGTCCAAAATACTCTATGCGTGTTGATGATAGCCGGAACTAGAAATTTGTACCATGGAATGACGAAACACGGAAGTGTCGCAACCTGCGCGCACAATGTGAGGTCGTCGTAGTCATTGGCTAATCGTCGTCTCACGAACGGTGTGGGGTCATCTTCCAGGTCGAACACCAAGGCTAATGACGAGGACGCCACTGCCGCCAGCAGTGTCTGTCGCACACAAAAAAAACGCAGATAAATGGCATGAGTTTAAAAAAATCTGTACAAAATGTATTTGCGCAGAGGAAGTGAAATTTTCCAAATTCTGATTAGCATCGCTAAAATAGTAATTTAATCAAAGGCAACAAGGGCGGGATAAATGCAGCACACTTTCAACTCGAACAGCTTAATTTTCTTCTCTTTGGCTACTCATTTTCAAAGCTTGTGGAATCTCATAAAAAATTTTGTGTGTGAAAGTATTTTCGAAAGACTTCACTCGTTGAATCAGAAATTTCCACAGAATCTAACAAGTTCATTCTAGATACAGTGGTACGATAAAATAAATTAAGGTACGAAATTACAATACTCTCATGTAATTCAGGAGAGTTAAACTAGATCTAAAGCGGATATCGTCTAACTCTATACAGCAATATTCCCCAGTTACGAGATTTCCGTATTCGAAGTCTGGCAACGGATTTTAATTTCATTTTGAATTTTTTGATATAATACTGCATTGATACTCTAATACAGTACTTCAATGCGTCTTCTACCATCGGTATTCGCTGCATTAATTATTTTTCGGTCAGTTTAATATCGTTGCGTACAGAGTCGAACAGTATTTTTCATACTGTATTATGTCCTTCAAAAAAATACGACCTGTACATGAAACCTCAATTTTTGAACACCCGTAGTAATAAAAGTTGATGTTCAAAAAGTTACTGCGCAACGAGATTTCCAGCATTCCTGGTGAAGGAAAAGGTAGAACACTCATTCATGGAACCCAGCAAAACTCTGAGACATAAATACGAAACTTTATTACAGTAAGCAAAACCATTTTAGGAAATCCTGTATCTTCCTTGAATTCTTGCAACTTTGCATTTTTGAAAATATTCGACCCTCCTGTACAAGCCTAGAAATTAAAATTACGGATAGAATTTGTTAGAACTCATTAAAACTACTTCTTGAATTTCATGTTTGCCTGGAGATGCGTCATGAATAACAACTTTCAAACAAATAATTCTGAGTCAAAATAACAAGTTGAATTACTGCGAAATCCAGTATCTGCTCGTCTACGGTCAGCAAGGTATTTTATCTAACGTCGTAAGCTTTGAGGTTAAAGCTTTAAAAGACAAGTTCTTAGAGTCTTCAAGCAATTTTTTTTAAGATGCGAGTTCTCGGAGGCTCCTGAATTTTACAAAATGTGAACACTTGAATTACTCACACGAAAAAAAAAGCGTAGAAAATACTGTACATTGTTGGGATCGTTAAATCAAATTCCACGTTTAATGCACAATATAAATTAACCGTGTTTTTCTATTTCTCGCGCTGCAGCTTCTGGCGGATGAATGCACCCGAGTTTCGGACGTAGTATTTATGATCAATAAAGTATATTGACATTCCATCGATGGAACTTTTCGCATCCAGGGCAAGAATTTTGTTACTTCAGAACATGCTATATACGGCGTAATATGTTCAGTGGACCTGAACCAGCATTTCTCCACCGGGACAATCCGGAAGTCCTTTCGCGATTCAGAATGTATCCCATAGATTTGTGGGTTCGTAGATTTCCAGGCAGAAATACATAAAAATTCAAATCGATATTTAGGCTGCAGTATCTCCGAAATTCAGAGCTATGCATAAAAGAAGCGTAAACATTGAAAGCCATTCGATCATCTCGCGAAAAAATTAGTTAAAAGCACATTGGTATATGGTAGGAAAGCGCCTTAATATAATAATATAAACACTGACGAAAATATTTACACTTGCTTTCTTTAAAGTATTCTTTTAAAAAAAATCGAATGCTGCGAAATTGGCATCATATTCTTGTTATTTACGCGTGAGAATTTTCAAGGTTGTCGAAGAAATTGTCTATCATTGCAAATAAGGCAAAAAGAAAATTCGAAATTCAGCTTTTCATTCCAAAATTTTGCACGTTCTCGGTGAAAAGACTCTCTTTCGTTATCACGTTTTTCTTCTTCCTCAGACTAACCGATCTATCGTTGCGTAAAAAATGTCGTTACCTTCTTCAGAGACAGAATTAATTTTCGCTTCTGGTCGAACATCCATGTTTCAACTCTTCCTGTTCTCAAAATGAATTCACAAGCCTCAGGAGAACACCAATACACTATTATAATCGGATCGTACGCTAATTGATACAGAAAATATGACGAAACCCTGCGAGGATCATTCAAAACAAAGGGCAGCTATTCAAGATGCGCGAGATGATCAACGAAGTTTTACTCAACAAGCTCGTAAATATTTTTGAATTGTTTTTAATTTAGGAACAATCTCGCCTGTCCCAAGTAACACTCGAGGGGGGAAATCAGGAGACAGTTGCAACTAGTTCACTTGAAGAACCAATTATGAAGGGAAGACATTAACTTCCGGGTCGACGAGTGTTCTGACAAGCGAAAAATCGATATCGGCATTAAGAATGTCGGTGATTCCGCGTGCTTCTTTTTTCCCAGGGCAAAATCATACCCGTGTCATTTCCCACCATGTAAACTCGACAAGAATGCCATAATTGGCTGTTAGAGGCCTGGGCCTGTTGGTCGACTGTGGCCATCCAGCTCATCAAGTTACGAGAGAGAGAGGGAAAATTGGGAATCGTGTAAACCAGACCATGAAGTACTGTTATCTAGCGCCAAAAAAAGAAAGAACTGGATTTCTTTTTCCGTAGCAGAGAGATGCTCCAATTGCATGTCCACGACATGGAATTTTCGACTGACTAGCATCGCACACACCACAAAAGAGGTTTTATGGACTACCGGTTCACATTTAATAATGTCAGCAAGTTTTAATATCTTACCAAGATGAGTAGCTTCATAACTGTTTCCTTCTTTATTCCACTGCACCTGAAAAATTGAATAAAATTGAACATTTGATCAGAAAAACGAGGATTCGAAATAAAGCAAGGGTCATGGCACCAAAAGAACAGGATTTTTTTGGGTTTGTTCTTTTGCCGCCAAGATGAAATGCGAGAATTCAAACGAACACGTCCCTTCAGTACAATAAGTTAAATGAAAGAGGCCCAAAAAATTGAATTTTATTTCCTCGCGGTAATTATTTATTTCGTCGCGTCACTTATTTTCATGCAAGCATATAATCAATTAATCGACGGAAAAAAATTTGAACCGCTAGCAAAAAAATTAATAGAATAATTGCATTCATAAGTAAACGAGAGAGTAACAAGAATGGATAAGAATCATGGGAGGAAGAATATCTCAAAAAACAGCCGACGAGTAACTTCTCCTGACGAAATAAACTACTGTACATTTTTATCAATATTTTTTTTTAATTCATCGGTCTCTATATACAGCATTAATTTAGTCCAGCGACCAAAAAATTATACACTGTGAGGCATGTGTGCCATATTCTGCTTTAAAAACAGTACAGTATCAAACCATCACGAGCACTCGAAAACCCCCGCATCACGCTTCAACGTATATAACCGACATATTCCTCTCACTCAATATTTTTCGCGTTTTCTTCTTCCGGAAGTTTCCTTCAAAAAACAAAAAACCCTCACACGCCTCCAAGTCCAAAATACTCTATGCGTGTTGATGATAGCCGGAACTAGAAATTTGTACCATGGAATGACGAAACACGGAAGTGTCGCAACCTGCGCGCACAATGCCCGTCGAGTGTCGACTAAATGCGACACGACGACTCCGCAGGAGCTTTAGTGCGGACGCGTCGCAGTGCAGGCCGATCGGCCCAGTTTTTTCCTCCTCTCCCCCCGTCGAAACCCACCCAACCCAAGATGAACAGAATGGGAAAAAAAATGTTTTCGAATCTGTGATCGACCCACATTTCAAACTTTTTAATTGTACTCATCAACCTTCGGAAGGACTGATCGAGAGCAGGAGGAAAGAACAAACATCCGAGTGGCGGTTGAACCTCTTTTTTTTTTTTATATATTTTAATTATAGAGTAAAGTTGTCGGTCTTGACGACGAGGTCAAGTGTTTACCCTTTTGGCCCTGGCGCGACGAATGACCCACTGGCCCCCAGGGGAAAACCTGTCCTCGAGGTGATTATACCCCGGGGTCAGGGCTTATTTTCGCCAGGGAAAAAACTTGGTCCAATTAATTCGCTGTCCGCGTGTTTAGAGAGATGCTGTGCGCTGGAATTCGGGGGAACCTAGATCCGTTTGAATTAAGAAACAAACGAGGTTTCCGGAGGAACTTTTTCCTGTTGTCTTGTCAGTGGCACGCTTTTGCTAGTTTAATTTTGGATGACGATGAAACACTAACCAAATCAATGATCCACAATTGAAGGAACGTAAATATTTTACTTGTGACTTTTATGCATCATATGAGTTGTTTAAAGAGTTTTTAGAGAGAAAACCCTTTGGATCACTCCGGAAGCTCTGAACCCGTAATTACGAAGTTTGTGCGAAAGGAAGGTTGGACAATTTCATCGAAGAACAAACAATACTGGCATCCTTTGAATGACAATAATGTTCGAACCCGGTGAGAAGAAATTGGAAAATTCTGGCCATTTTGGGATTACTGCAAGGTTTAGGGTTTAGGCTCTCGGAAACGGGGTAGAAATATGGGATTTTTTCAAGACCACGAAAATTTCTTATTGCAATTCCAGAATTGAGATAAAAATCTTATTTATAAACATAACAGTGATACTCTTATCTCTAATGCCTGCTATATTGGTGATATTTACATATACGTGTCCAATAAATGCAGTGCGTGAATGACTTTACACAAAACATTATTTTCAGTCGGTATCAAAATAACTAGAGAACATAGGCTTATCATTTCTTGAACATCTTCCACGAACATTTTTCAACCCAAGTTCAACTAGCTCCAGATTCTGCAGGGTTCCGAACTCGAGGTTTGGCATAAAATTAGGAATGCGGAACTTTTTTCGTGGGTTTCTTCGCACACACAAAAATATACCAGTAAAATTCACAGTTTTGCAAGAGTTCCGAACAACGTCGGAGTATTTCTGTCAAGCGATTCATCAAAGCCGCGTCTCACAAAGCAAAGAAGACATGATGATTACCGTTCACTGTATTTTTCTGAATATAAGCCGCACTTTGAAACAAATGTGCTAAAAAGAACTACAGCGGCCCATACTTGAGGTACAATATTTGCACAAGGGCCGCAGTGACGAGGAGATGCGGTTTATACAGGTATAGACCTCTCCATACAACGATTTTTTCCCGCATAACGATTTCTTTGTTTATTTTCGTTTGGTACCCATGGAGTTCTCTGTCCATCCCAATAAGGGTTCTCCGAACCGAAATTCATCTCTACAACGAATTTTTGGGTCTCCTGAATTCACTTGTCAGGAAAGGCGCCCATTTACATACATACAAATACATGTGCTGTATTTACTGCAATTCATAACTTTGGGTTTCAAATACAGAACGAACTACAGTATTTCTCAAAATTGTAAAAACAAATCCTCGATCAGTTAACAAACTTGTTCAATGACTCCAAACTGGATGATCTTCTCAGAAGACAGCGCCATATTTTGGCAATGAGGTCACAGACAGGAAAAAATAAATGCAATTAAATTGTGCATCCAAGCAAAGGCCGCAATTTTCTCTCCTGAATTCAAAATTTCAATATTAAACCAATTATTTTCCGAAGAGGCTGCTCAAAACGGCGATATTCGCATGCGAGTTTCAGTTCAGAAAAATACCTAGGTTCCTTTTTTTAAATTAAAATGAACAAACGGAATTCGGAAGACTGATTCCTAGCTAAGATCAAAGTAGACTAGTGGACTGATCAGTGCCATCGGTTGGAAAGAAGAACGTCTACTTTGTCCAGCTCTCGAAAAAAAAAAATAAAATAAATACCGGCCGCATTTTGCCCAGCCAATCAAAGCAATCGAACCACGGGTCTGTGGCTGATTACTCGAACGCAAAAGAAACTCGAGTCTATAATAGTAATACCGAAGTGGCCAGGAAAACTATTTTTGCTTCGACCAAAAAAAAAAGGGACGTTAGAGATTCATGAGCTAAGAGTCATTCCGTCATTCTTTGCATATTTGACGAGAGAAGGATACGCATTTATACGAATAACGGCCAAGAAAAACATCTGTGACACGCATTTCATTTGGTTTCCCGTGTGAAACCTCGAGTTACAATGATTCCGGATTCTTTCCATCAATTTCACTAACTTTATCCTTCCCGTAGAATATATTTGAATTGGAGGAGGAAATGTTTCCACTTGATTGCAAATGGCGACAAAATAAATTAAACATTTACACGGAACTTTTGAAAGTAGTGAATCATCGGCAGACTCGCGCGACGAATAAAAGACGTACAGTACAAGGTTGGCCAGAATAAATAAAATATTTATTATTCAACAGCAATATCTTCAGGTCGGCTCAAGTTGTCAAATTCACAAAAATGTTAACCTGAAGCTTATTCCAGTATCTTTCAAATGATCGTTAATTTTGAGTCTTTGTTTGTATTCATATGACTAGCGTGGTAATATAATATTACCTTTGAATAAAAGTCGCCATGTTCATTCTTCCAAGGGTTAAAGGAATTTTTCAGGAGTTTTCCCAGGATTTGCCAGGAACCAAATAGCAACAGATTTCCATCGTACCGGCATTTGAAGCGATACTTTGGGATAATGACAGAAGCTTATTTGTAGGACACAATACTTGCCATACAAATTTTTCCCAGGATTTCTAAAGGAATTATAAGAGTAACACAATGCACCTTTCCTTCGCCTTTTTTCGCGCCGTCGCTGAAAAAATCCGTCATGCCTGGACTAATTTTTCCAACGATTAGTTCAAAAAATGGTAATCGAAGCAGAAAAACATTATTATTTCAGTTCCTTACAACTTGACAATTTTTTTTATGGTGAATGACAAATATTTTGAAGAAATGACTACAGTTTTAAAAAAAACCTTTTTGGTACAACTACATAAAATATCTCGAATCCACTCTCGGAAATCGAACATAGCGGGACTCAGTTTTTCGCCGAATTTTTACCTTTGGTACTCGAACAATTTAGCATGTTTTCATTGGAACAAATTCAAAATCAGAAATATCTCGAACGCAAAAGAAACTCGAGTCTATAATAGTAATACCGAAGTGGCCAGGAAAACTATTTTTGCTTCGACCAAAAAAAAAAGGGACGTTAGAGATTCATGAGCTAAGAGTCATTCCGTCATTCTTCGCATATTTGACGAGAGAGGGATACGCATTTATACGAATAACGGCCAAGAAAAACATCTGTGACAGGCATTTCATTTGGTTTCCCGTGTGAAACCTCGAGTTACATTGATTCCGGATTCTTTCCGTCAATTTCACCAACTTTATCCTTCCCGTAGAATATATTTGAATTGGAGGAGGAAATGTTTCCACTTGATTGGAAATGGTGACTAAATAAATGAAACACTTACACGGAACTTTTGAAAGTAGTGAATCATCGGAAGACTCGCGCGCCGAATAAAAGACGTACAGTACAAGGTTGGCCAGAATAAATAAAATATTTATTATTCAACAGCAATATCTTCAGGTCGGCTCAAGTTGTCAAATTCACAAAAATGTTAACCTGAAGCTTATTCCAGTATCCTTCAAATGATCGTTAATTTTGATTCTTTGTTTGTATTCATACGACAAGCGTGGTAATACAATATAATATTACCTTTGAATAAAAGTCGTGTCATGTTCATTCTTCCAAGGGTTAAAGGAATTTTTCAGGAGTTTTCCCAGGATTTGCCAGGAACCAAATAGCAACACATTTCCATCGTTCCGGCATTTGAAGCGATACTTAGGGATAATGACAGAAGCTTATTTGTAGGACACAATGAATGGACAAAAAAGCGAAGGAAAGGTGCATTGCGTTACTCTTATAATTCCTCTAGAAATCCTATGAAAAATTTGTATGGCAAGTACCATACAAATTTTTCCCAGGATTTCTAGAGGAATTATAAGAGTAACACAATGCACCTTTCCTTCGCTTTTTTCCGCGCTGTCGCTGAAAAAATTCGTCATGCCTGGACTAATTTTTCCAATGATCAGTTCGAAAAATGTTAATCGAAGCAGAAAAACATTCTTATTTCATTTCCTTACAACTTGACGATTTTTTATAGTGAATGGCAAATATTTTGAAGAAATAACTACCGTTTTTAGAAAACACCCTTGTTGGTCCAACTGCATAAAATATCTCGAATCCACTCTCGGAAATCGAACATAGCGGGACTCAGTTTTTCGCCGAATTTTTACCTTTGGTACTCGAACAATTTAGCATGTTTTCATTGGAACAAATTCAAAATCAGAAATATCCTACATCATTTTTTATCAAAAAATTATCAAAATAGTAATAAGACAATAGTAATGCGATGTTGAAAATAATCGAGATCGCAGTTCATCCATTGACTAAATTCACGAAATAATTTCGCATCGCCATGATCTTCTGTGAGATACTTTTCCCCGTAAAATACTTCCGGGTGGACCCGTTGTTCATGGTGTAAAAAACCTCGCGTCGAAGAACAGCTTTATTTTTTTTGAAACCACGTTTTCATTTTTTATTGAAACTTTTTTCATAAATCAATCGTAAAATGAAATGGGTGACGATGTGCTATGTGGACCACGGCGTAGATCAAGGTGCAGAACAACTTTCTAATGATTCCAGCAAAGGAGGTAGAGTGAAACCGGGTGACGACCGGCCCCAACGACGTTGATCCGGAAACGAAGATGGTAAGAGTTCCCATTTCCGCTTCTAATTGACAGCGGCCTAGATCTCGAAAGATGCTACTTCCGATCCAGAGCATTTCGTTAAATTCAAGATGTGCCACGAACATGATTCACGAATTGGAAATAAATGGAAACACAACAGAGGCCTTGAATCATATATTAAAGCTGGACAAGATATGATGATGAACCGTTTAGAAAGTTTTCGGGCCAGTAAATAACGGATCGTTTTCCCGTGAACATTCGATTTTCAAGTTTCTCTCAATATTTCCAAATTAATTTGAGGACAATACAGTTCCAATACTTTTAAACTGCTAAAAAATCGCCGCTATCACTTTCGAAGATATGAAGTCATTTTCGAAAAAAAAACTGAACAATTAACTGAATACAGTGCTTCACTGTATTGGCTTTCGTCAATATACAGTATTCATAGCAGTTTTTAAATATATAGTGTATTTTGGAAAGACCATCTGTTGTACTTTTTCAGAGGATTGATGAATAAGTTTTTCCGTTCTCTTCACATTATAAACAGAGAAAGGATAGAGAAATGAAAGTGTACGCAATAACTGCGACGAAATGAGGCTTCCGTCATTCTGGTTTTATGAATTTGCAGTTGGTCCAAGCGCTAACAAGAATTATTGTCTTCACAACTACTTCTCAAATCCGACACGCATTAAAAACAATGAATGTTACTTTGTATAATTTTAGTGCTGCTGATATTAGGTGTAAATGGTGCCTACAATTTTTAATATGTGAAAAAAAATTGAATGTCCGGTAGCCATTGCAAAAAATTCTTGGAAGATGGACAGGTGAATTCTTCCGAGAATGTTGTTAATTCTCAAAATCATCGGGAAATCAAAGCATTCTGACTCAAATGCAAAAACGCCTCGCAAAAACAGTTTTTCATGGTGCAGTAGATAATTTAAAATGCTTCGCGCGGCTGTTTCATGGAGTTTTTACACTCTTAAAATAATTTTTTTTTTGGCCTTCAGTTTCAATTCAAGATCGCTGCTTTCTGCGTCGGCATTTTGACGAGTTTTACAAAAGCATCGCCAGTCACAGAGGATGCCAAAGTTACACGGGTTCGGTCTCAATACGGTGACGTACAACAAAGCGGGAGTTTCGGCGGTCAAAATTTCAACATCTTTTCTTTTATAAGCACACTTGACGTGAGTGATTAATGAATATCATGTATATTCAATTCTTTGGCTCGAGAGATTGTCCCCACATTTTCGTCGAAGGATGTTTGATTTTCGTGCGTAGTCAAATTTTTCTGAAGTCTATTTGCATCATTCTTCAAGTGGAATCAAGGTATTTTTAAATTTGATGAGTAACAGATCTTTTCTGGACCATGGGTTGTCTGAACCGAATTCTCAATGACTTGCAAGTGGTTTCAAATTTTTGAGGTTGATAATGAAAATTTTAAATTCAACAGAAGTGCTGCCAAAATAGGCATTTTTAAATGCTTCAACGGATGGATAAGGAGATCATGACAAGTTCGTGACAAAATTTCAGGATAAAATAGAAAAAACATGTCCAAATAAAAAAAACAGGATCTAACGACGGAGTCTTTGCAATTATTGCTGGCACTATTTCCCCCTTAAATGAAACCGAACATCAGATATTCCTCGTAAAGTACCGTATTTCCTTCAGGACCACCGGAAACTTCTCCACGAAATTAAGCTCAAAAAGTGGGCAGCGCGTCTTATTTGAGTATTCTTTTTCTTTCTGAAAATGTACATTTTTGGTGCATGTCACTTCGTCACTTTTCGATGAAGCACATTCGGTGAAGTTCAAAGAAATACTGTACAGTTACTTTCATTTTTAGAGACTAAAATGATTCAAAATTAATATTCAGGCTCATATCATCCTGGCAGATTAAAATGTGAAACAAAAACAAAAGCAGCACAATTGTAATTTGCATTTTATTCGTTAAAATTTCAAATTTTCGCATTTACAGTATTTTCAAAACTAAATTCAACTTTACGCCGCAGAATAGCACAATGTGCGTTGTACGAAGGATAGATTTTTCTGAAGAAAAAAAAGTCTCAAGGAATTCGGCGCACGTCTCACACGAGGGCGCATGGTACTCCAGTAAATACTGTATTATACTTTATTGTACAGTTACTGCATTCATAATGCGGTGAATATGAAGTACTGTACAGTATTTCATTTTTTCTGGCAATAATTTTGCTCATTCTTTTCGAAGTACAGCATTTAAATTTTGTGAGGAAGACATCACCTCTTTTTTTATGAGATCAAGATCTATAATTCAGGTGGACTCTCTCTCACTCCTACAGCGAAATTCAAAATCCCAGAAAAATCGTTGTCAAGATAATTTCCCTTTTAAAAAAACATATTACATGGGGAGAGAACCCTAAAAGGGACCGAAAAAAAATTCGTTATACATTCACGATGAAATCGTTGTAGACAAGATTGTTGGTACAGAGAGACTCCAAGATATCTAAAATTATTCAAGCGTCCCCGATTTTCGTTCTGATCACAACAGAAATTAAAACAACTATTTTAATCTTAGAATCCGGCGAATGGAGTACAAGCGTCGGTCAACGTCGGTACAAGTGGAACTCAATCCACAACCTCGTCAAAATCTGGATCAACTCAAGTTTCTTCGAGTCCCGTCAGCCGACCGAGTCGACGACGACGACGACGACGAAGATATCACCGCCGGTATCGTGAAAGGCAGCGGGATTCTTCAAATAGCGAAGAAACGTCCGTGATGATTCAAAAGGCTGGCAATAAAGCAGCTCAACCGAAACCGTACGACTGGGAAGCAGCACTAGAAGCTGCGGAGAAACTCGCGGGTTCAGGACGCGACTTGGAAGGATTCGACACGAGCTTGAATTTTTTCGACTCTCTTTTCGGGAAGCAGTTTGACGAATTGGACCAGTTTGCCAAGCCGATAAAGGCAAAAACTCTGCGGTCTGCTGGCCCGCAAACCATTTCACAGGGCTGATACTACTTACGCGGATAATCGGCGCTTTTTACCCCCCCCCCCCTTATTTTTACTCAAGTTAAGCTTCGAGATTCATCGGGGGTCAGATTTACAGCGCACGAGAAAATAAGTTCAAAAAATGATTCAAACATGTACCCCAAATAAAATGATGAATGTTTTCTTGAAATTGACAAATTTTTTTACCATCGAAAGAAGTTCACATAAAAAACAGGAATCCGGAAAAACAAATAAAGTTGAAATTGTGAGATTATCTTGCAAATTTATTCGTATCTGGTGTAGTCTTTCATATTGGTATAAGGTGGAAAATCTTCCTCGTATGGTTTATTTCTTTCGGAAGAAGATTAATATATAATGAGCTTACACTCGCACGAAGTCTTCGTAGAGATTTTATCATCCATAAGTAACAAAGGGTATACTTATTGGTTAACCCTGTAGGATGAAGTAACTCAGGCATTGTGAAAACTTAGGGAAGCATGTCTTAGATTTGGAAGCAATTCAATTTTAGGTTGAAAATACGATGTACATCTCAGAATCAACGGCGTATGTTACTCGCGTGAATACGGCATATTCTTGGGAAAAAATTTCCAGTATTTTTAAAATTCCATCTTCAAGAGTTTTAAAAGCCTTAAACCTGGACGTTGAATGAGACACTGATATAAATGCTACATACGAGGCGCACACTTCGGACCAAAATGTTCTCACCGAAGAGCGTCAGTGGTTTGTAAAAAGTTGAATAGCTTCGTCTTCAGCCCGCCAGAACCCATTGGACATGACATTGGAAGCACTTGCTTTCCAATCCCACTGCATCACGGGATGAAACCATGATGGGCCATAATTTGCTTGAATATATGGCTCCAATGGACAAGGAACTCGAACCAAAAGATCCAAAAATTCAGTCCAACACAACTTGAACTTCGGGAACGGATACCTGAAAATTAATCCGATTCATCCCATGTTGAACAAAAAAAAATGAACACGCCATTTCCTTCGCAAGGCAAATCTTCATGCACACGAAAATATTCAGCATTTCGAAGGGTATATCAGCGAATAAAACTATATTCTACTCACTTGAATTTTTCCCCCGTACTCAAGTCGGTTCCACCATTCCAGAAGATGTCGCCTTCGTCGTAGAAGAAAAATATGTCTAGTTTAAACCAGGTATGCATGAAAGACAATTGCAGACTGTCGTTCAACACTCCAAATCTATGCAATGGCGTGAAACCCGCACGTTCCATTTCATTGACTATGTCTTCATTATAGTCCGAGGCAAAAACTCCGATATCCACATCATCCGTGTAAGGAATAACATCGCATTGACGAAAGAATCCTACAAATCAAAGATCCAATAAATGGAAGGCATTTTAATCTGATTCGCAACTGAGTAATTCATGAAACACAAAGGCGGGAATATTTCAGGGAGTCACGGTTTTTTTTACAAAATTTAGGAAATTGGAGTAATATCGGAAGCGAGGCAACGAGGAAAAAGTTCATCATCTAAATTCAGCTACACAGGCTTGAAATCAATATTAAAAAATGGGCAAATTGATAAACTTCAATTCGACGTTTTTCCGGAGGTGATGGTTTGAACTATTTTCGAGACGGTGAATATTTTCGAAACGGTATTATACTCTGAAAAGAATAAAACCTCACCAAGACAGGTTCCACTGCTCAGCCAAAAAGGAACCCCCAGAGTATCCAATGCCAGTTTGGCCCGGAACAACATCTTCTTCACCTTATGCCGGATTAAATCTCCAGCTGATCCAGTAGTCAGAGACGACGGATATTTATTCGCGAACTCTTTTCGAATGGCATTGTCGCACGGAATGAATAGAGGTGTGAGGTAATCTCTCCTATCTGCGGACTCCAACCGCCAGTCAAAGGTACCATTTCTACACAAAAATAAAATGGGAATACAGGAAAAACTTTCCACAATAATAATTTCAAGTATAAGTTAAGCTGTTCAATCAATTTAATAATGTTAGATGATGGTTAGTTCCACCTTTACAACTCTCTTATAGAACCCATGCTGAAAGAATTCGCGCATTCATTTGCGTAAAATTTGTTTCTTTTCATCCGGAAATTTAGCAAAAAAAGAGGAAGCGGAAAAATGCTTCAGATTTCCATGCAAAAACCCGGGTATAATCGCCCAATTGCATTTATGCAAGAGTAGTACAGTACTGTACATTTAAATACGGTAATAATTCCATCTATCCATGAGCAGATTTTCCCCGCTTTTCTTCAAAATTAATTTCAGACCATCGTCTCAAAAAGGTATTCCAAACATTCTCGAATTAATATCACGAAACATGGATGATTGGAAGTATTCAAGGTTCAAAAGTGAAAATTTCACGTTTGGCCAAGACGTGCCAAGAATAAACACATTTGCGGAATTGATAAATAAGAGCAGAACCGAGAAATAGTTCAAATTAGGGGAGAATACGACGGAGGGTGAACTAGCAGGAATTGCATCGACAGTAAAATTTCTAAATGACACATTTTCTTCTACTGCACAGATATCAGATATCCATATACTGTACGCACGATAGTGACTATTGCGAAAATTTTCATCAATAAAAAAAATTATGCTACATTGAAATTTGATCTATAATCCTTATTTTTATGCGTTTCGTGACCTGGAATATCCCACGTTTGTTCCACATAATCAACGCGTGAACAAGGAGAGAAAGGGACGATCATTGAGATGATAACGAGGTAGAACAGTTCAAGTTTTCCTTCAGAATGCCTCGTAATGAACAATCGTTTTCTCACATTAAAACAGTGCTTCACACTATAACCATTGTCCTCGAAGAATACCAACCGTATTAAAACCACGGAATCATTTCGTAGATTCCCTAGCAACTCCGTCCCAGTTTCTTCTGGTGATATTCCCGGTACCCAAAAGTACTTCGCATTTGCACGCCAAGTGACAAATGCAATAACGACGCTCATCCATTTCTGATCCTTCGAAGTACTCGTGATGATCAAATGAGAAACGTATTTGCGACGCACGTCAGGAAATTCTCCGTTGTCATTCACGGATTGCGGAACTCGATCATTTTTAAGCAGACGCACACTGCAACAGCATTCATTACACATTCCCTGGATTCCGTCAACGAATTCCTGGAATAATCTCACATGTGAATGAACTTCCAGAATACAACCTACGAATAGAAAGGCGTACCTGAGAATGATTCTGCGTTATAAAAAATAACTGCGATTCGCTGATGTTGTAATACGGAGGCAAAGAACGTCCGCTAGGAGGAATAAGGATGGAAATCTTTCTCAACAACTGAAGATCGCAACCCTGGTCCATAGGCTGACAGGGTTTATTCGTACTGCCAAATCCATTCAAAGAAAAATTGACAGCAACGGCACAGATTGATACGGCAAGGGCCCCAAGAATCCCGTTTTTAAAGCAGCAATGCATCCTGAACAATTAATGAACATGAACGATCAAGCACCCTTAGGAAATCGAAAAAATATACTGTACAAGAAAAAAATACGTGATTCGAAAAAAGAGTGCTGTCTTTTGCAACAAATCCAACGTGCGATCAACAACAAAATGTCCAGTTTTGGAAATAAAATCACAGACGAAATCACAAAAACACCGCCGAAAAGCAAGACAAACGTCAATCCAACAAAACTGAGGTGTTCTTCTCTTAAAACGTCCTCTCTGCCCAGCAAAAAATTTGGTATTCGAAATTTTTTGGCCTGAGTGCACCCATTCACCAAGGCATTTACTGACCCATTCATTTGGGCGTAAGTTGAATGCCCAGTAAAATAGTTCAAAGATTCTTGTAAGACCATTTTCTGAATGGGCAAGATTGGCCATTTTTGAATGGGTTTTCAATGGGTTCATGAATGCTCAAATTTTTTGCTGGGAGATAACTTCAACATTTTTCAATATCTTTGGACTGATTCTGCTTCTTTTTTCCTTCTTCCATTTCCAATTGCTTCGCACGAGTATAACCCATGCTTCCCAAGAGGACAACGAAATTCGAGGTCCACCAAACCGCTGTTTTAAACTCTTCGTAATACAACACTGCAAGAATCGTCTGCGCACTTGCTTTTGCAGTTCCAGACACATTATGTGTAAGCGGCGAAGTTACCTGAAAAAAATTTAGCATTACAGTACTAGAAAGTCACGCTCTAAATAAGACAAATTTACACAAAAATCGGAGGCTCACTTTGATTTGAAGAGCTGATGCCGTGCCCACGGCGAAGCCGAGAACACCGGAAATAGACATTACAGTCCAGAAATAAACGGTGTTCAAATCTTTAAAGCTCATGAGAACTTTAACCTCGCCACTCAAAAGTATTAGAGGGATGAATATAATAGCGGCGTTCACGTTGTTCAAATATCCCAGGCGAAGAATGCTCCCATCAACACATGCAAGGTATTTCTTGGTCAGAATAGCGTTCAATGCAACAAGCAGCGACGCAAGAACTCCAGGAATCACCCCCAAAAGCGACAAACCTGGAAAAAATCGAACACAGTACCAATGAATTTGATTATTTTTCATGCTGTACTAAAGAAGCAGCATTCCCATTAAAAAATACTTGAAAGAAACAACAAATTTAAAAAACTGATCACCTGATGCGGTTTCCTGGTCAACTCCGATGAAAAATCCGACCAAGATAATGACACACCAAAACAACGCATATTTAGAATGCGTCTGACCTAGACAAACAAAATGCCAAAATTATGTCTTACAAGCTACAAATTTTAAAATGCGTCCGGTATATTTAAAAATTCGTTTGACACGACTTACTCAAGAACACGTAGGAGAGAATCACATTGAATACAGTCGTCAAAGAGCGATTCACGTAGTAGAATGCAACTCCCACAAATTTGATGCACAAATTGTTGGAAGTCACCATTCCAACGAAGACAATGGAAAGAGGCAAAATCTGCGAAACAAAGTCCGAACGTATCTTCAAAGACATGCAGATCACGACGCGGAAAATTTTAGGTAATCGCAAGTCATTTTCGGTGAACCGCGTAATGGAAGCGATAAGATTTGTTAAACTCAGCATGCGCCTGATGACTGAAAATAAAAGTTCGAAGAAGATCTAATGCAAAAATATTTTATTAAAGGTCGGTGATCATTCGAGGTTTGGCTCAAAAAGGTCACCAGATATGCATTTTCCGCATACAGTAGTTCACGTTAATTTCAAGTTCTTTATACTGCATTAAACTACTAATATTCAACACTTTTCCAACTTCTCTCCTGATCTTTTTCCTCTCAGGTTGTCAGCTAGATTAAAGACAAGCAAAACACACAAGAGAACAGACGGGAAGCTTATTCTTGAGATACCACGTGCAAGTACGGTATAAGCTTTCAGACAAAAAGTCCTGTTGTAATTTCTTCAAGTACTGTACAATATTTGGATGCTTTGAAAACCTCAAAGTTCTGGTTAAAATATCAACGAACGTTCTGGGAACTCTCGCCGTGATCAATTCATCAGTAATTAAATTTCAACAGAGGCGTCTTCAATGATTCCAGAACAAAAACAAAACTCACTGATTTCAAACTTTTTGCATCACATGAGAGATCGAGACGTCCAGAGCCACCAGCCCAGGAATACCTTCCACAAATCCGTATCACAAAAATCGACCACACTGCTTGAAACCACGTAATGAAGCACGGAGCGTCAAGTCCTCCTTCCATCCCTCGTCCACCCAAAAGCTGTTTGTTGAGCATCACAATCGAGATGGAAACCACCCTGTTGATCGATTTAAAATTCAGTCAACCGATTAAATTATCTCAATATATGTAAAAAACTTACCAATACAAGGCAATAACCCCGGTGATCTCCAAATATTTCCGAGTCATACTGTCCTGCGCCTTCATGTTCGTCTGTTCTAATTCTTCTGAAAGAAGAGACACCTTGTCCGTTTCAAAATCTTTCTCATCAGTATGACTCATTCTACTTCGTCTGCAAAACAAATCGTGCCAACGCTTTTTTTCTCATGAGGTACGGTATCGTGCTGTATTTCACTTTCGTGCAAAAAGCCAAACCGATTCCAAAGCAGTCAAGCTCAACATGAGTGAAACCACTGAAATCTCGTGATGGTGAAGTATATCGAAAGAAACTATAAAATGACGAGATCGACAACACGGTGACAACGGGGAATACTTGATATATCCAGGTCCCTTCACATGGCCAGGAAGAAGGGCAGTAAAATGAACGCGTAACCGAAATTGACACCACATACAGAGAGCACTCATGAAGTATTTAAGTTGCCTTCGGTTCACAATTACATCATTTCAAATCCGGAGAACGATTCGACCTCGTATCATCACTATAGGCAAGAAGCGAATTATCCCCTTCGGCCTGCAAAAAAGTAAGAACACTTCACTGAGTCTCGCGAGACGGAAAAAAATCAAGATGAGTGTAAATTATACTACAGCATTTCCGTTTTGAACCTTCTTTTGTATTTGTAAAACCTGCAAACATTCAGATGCAAATGAAAATTCGCACAAAACATAGCTCCACTGGCATACGATTCACGTTCCCCGCAGGTGAAATAAAAAAGGATAACCTCCGGTTTCACGCACTCAAAGCTACAATCACAGACGGTGGATTCTGCCCCACGAGCAGCACGGAAGTTTTGTCTCGATGATTTTTGAAGATCCCTGTAGATCCATACGGCTAAGAAGAAAACAAGGTGAAACAAAACAAGAACTTATTCCTCGTTCAACCATCAAAGAAAAACAAACGCAACAAAACCAGAATATTTTCCCTTCAAAGATGCCTTCGAATAGACAACGGATCAACATGGTTCCTTCCGTAAGGAAAAGTCAGATTCGGCTTATCTTGCATGAGTGATTCAACAATCCTGTCAAGCTTGCGGCGATTCCGCTTCAAGTAAGTCACAGTTTCTTCTTGTAGCTTTTCCAACTTGATGGGATCACTTTCGTCCAATCTAATGTTTTCCGACATGTAGGGGTTGAACCGAAAATACACGTTTCGCGGAAGCAGGTCCTTCAAAGTAATGTGCACTCCTGTAGGGGAAAATGTATTTTATTTTTAAATGGCAAGCTTAATAAATCACGGTTCTCGTGCATTCCAAACAAATTTAAAAAGATTCTAATGAAACTTGCAAATTTCGATGCAAACGCTTGGAAAAAACTCACGCTCAGTATCCGTAGCACTATTGAAGAAGACTGAAAGTTTATCCCATAGGCTACTAGCTTCGGCTCGTGCATCGACTAGTCTCGCATTCGGTCTCAAGTCTGACATGACGAACTCATCCCACAGTCCATTGCCGATCGAAACAACTGAAAAGTAAGCTCAGTACATCACATACTAGGCAATCAACCTTAAAATAAATCGCGGAAAATACCTGTCTGTATAGGCTGATCAGGCCATAGATTGTAGCATTCATGAATTGCAACGGCTGTTGGATTATTGCAGTTTGTTCCACCGTCAACGTGGATTTCGTTATCAAGTATCACTTCTTTGAAAATCCCAGGAGCAGCGGAAGATGCACGAACTGCTTCGCGGTACTTATACTTGAGTCCCACGTTTCCAGCAAATCTTGACTGATACCCGGGCCGAATTGTGTAATTTCTGAACACAAAAGTAGTAGGTAAGCCTTTCCTCACCACAGCTGAAACAATACCGGTCTGGAAAATAAACGATTTTCAAAAACATCAATCGAAAATGAATGACGTTTATTCTATTTGACTGCAGTGGGAATACAGAACTGTGTAGGTCGAAGCCAGATCATCATAGGAACCCTTCCCAAAGAAATACATCTAAGTGATGGTTTCGGGAACTAACGATAAAAATTTCCTTCTAAGAAAAACTAATTTCGGACATCCATTGATATAAACGCATTTGTTCTGAAGGTTTGGCAATTCCTCTAAGCAATGCGGAAAGATATTACAATTACTAAAATGTACCTTTGGACAATCAGGATCCGCTGCGCTTTCTTCAAATGATAAATCTCCGATGTAATCGATCAGAAGTTGCTCCCAAACAGCAGTGTCATATAAACTATGACTCATGAAAAGGCGTCCAGTCCCCCACCAGCCAGGATCACTGAACAATTCCTTGCAGAGAGACATGTACAAATCTTCGCATTCGTCCAAATTTCTTCGCATTGGTCCAAGCAACGTTGTAAGAATAGCTCCCGTAGAGACTCCCACAATATAGTCGAAGAGCTCGTGAGTTGCTTTCCCCGTTTCTCGTTCGATAGCCTTCAAGACTTCCACGACAATCACTCCTCTGAAATATATAAAATTGCAATGTAATTGAGAATTATTTTTGGGAAACTTCTGACTTGAGTTCACCTTGTTCCTCCTCCATCTAGGGCGAGTATCTTGATACCATTTCCCTTCACCGGAAACGTATGACCCATTATTGCCAGAGCAATGCGACAATCTTCTTGCAGTCCCGGGGATTTTGTTTGCGACAGGGCTCGCAATATCGCCTTTGTTCCGCCGATCTTCAATAAAAATTTTGAGCATTACATACCTGCAGAATACCGCATCCATGCGAGTAAAGGCCACATGCCCATCAGACAATCGTTATTAAGGGAACTAAGTGCAGCCTACGATCGCAAAAATACGGTAGTAAAGAATCTTGGATATATTACCTCGCACAAGAACAGTAAGATTTCTGGGTGGTCCTTGACTAGTGTGATGAGGGACTTGATCTTACTCCTCTTCCAATGGTCATCACTGGGTATTTGGAGCGACTTGACTAGATTTTCACCGACGAGGTATAAATCGCTAAGTGTCTGCGGAATTTAAGACAAAGTCAGCACTACTGTCAATCGAGAGCCTTGATTCATGCTAGGTATACCCCAACAGTTGATCCACCCGTAGGGATCAATAGCCCACGACGAATCTTCCTTCCTTCACGCACAGATTTTTCGTGCTTCGTGCGGTAGAACATGCTCGGGACTCGAGCGATTTCTTTGAGTATTCTCCCTAGGCCGTACGTCGTCAATGGTCCAGGAGAGGGTTGAACTGGAACAGGAGGGGCTTCTCCGGCAGATTCGCGGTTTGAAAACATCCTCGAAGGTGGAACACTTCCGTGCAGTCGTAGTCTGTCTCGAACATGACTCAATTTCATAGGACGTTCGACGATTTCTGATGCAAGCGGAAGAAAGGATGACATCCATGATCGGTCACCAGAAACGTTTTCGCGACTCAGATAATCCCTCTGTTTTGGCCGCGCAGCGTTTTCCGTCGGCAGATGGACAGTTGTGGCGGTTTCCAAAGTTGGAACACGACCAAGCACTTCAAGACAAATGGTTTTCAATTTCTTGAGCACCGCAAAATTTCTGAAGGGAACATGGATTTCTTTGCCAACCATATCCGTCAAGACATTCAAGCGATAAAAAAAAAATGATGCCTGTAAAAATCAAGAAATAGAAAGGCTAGAATGTAAAATGTCATGCAAGCAAAATACAACACAGTGAAAAGCTTTAATGATCCTCGAAAATCAAATTTTCGTAGCCCTCAAAACGACCAACATTCTAATAATAATTGCTAAGAGACCTCTCTCAGAATTAGAACTTCAACGCGGACTTCACAAAATAGGAGCACATGAATCCTACGAAGCGTCTTCTCCTACGTTATGAAGATATAAACGTCAGGAGTTATCTTAGCTGAAATGCTGTCGTCGAATCCATCAAGATTTGAAAATGAACGCCCCAGACTGGAATCGAGGAAAAAAGGGAAATGGGAGCTACGCCAACAAATCAAGCTCATCAACTGAGGGCAACCGTCCACTCATTTTTCATCGTGTACACGTGCACGATCAGATCAGTCGCTAGGCCACTCACTATCAAAATACGTCACTTGCATTGAGGCTGTGGTTCAGTTGGACACATCATCGAAGCACAGATACGAGTACAGTACAGTAATGTTTTCGTATTAAACTTTGATAAATCCCTGTCTCCAAGAAAATCTAAGTATTCTAAGCCACACCTTTGCTACATGCAGATTTCACTGGACCATGGGAGAACTTCAATTGAAGCATGATGAACGCGCCACGAATAGCCAAACTGAACACGTCCAGCCGTTGGGGCTGCCTGCCAGGTAGCAGGAGAAAAACAGTCCCGCGTTTAAGCCCTAATGCATTCTCCAGCCACAACCTCCGGACGGTGAACCAATAGCAAGCGAGGACACAGGTCGTGCCACCACCGCGTCATATCCTTAAACGTGTTTCACCAAGGCAAGGAAGGAGCAGAAACTCAGCGCATTACAATCCCCCATATGCATGATGTACGGAAGTTGCACATGTTAATGTTAATACTGTATACAATGAAAATATAGAGGCACGATGAATGGTCAACATGTTCAAGGGTAAGAAGAAATCCACCTTGAATTAACAGAGGTTTCTTTCAATTCAAAATATTCAGCATTCAATTCTACATGACATGAAGATTTGTTACGTCCTGAGGTTTTTTTTTCAATCAGTTTGCGGGGTGCTGGTTGCGAAGGTTACAGTGTCCACCTCAGCTAAAGTTGAAGCATGTCAGGAAAATAGGCTATACGGTACAATATGCATTACACTGTATAGCATCACCCTGTCACGCATGCAATGCATGACTAATGATGACGAGATCATCCCTGACGAAGAACCAGAATATTATAAAGTGTAATGAAGTGGGTGTTCCACAGACTGTACACTACAGTATTTGACTTCCTGGGATATACCTACAGGTAATGATACCCGCATCCGTTCTTGGAGTACAGCAGTGTACCACTAACTTTCCCATTCTTGATGTCAGCAGTGGTTTGCATGCTTCCTCGCTTCCTCCATTTTGGTAAGAATATGCCGTCACTTTTAACGCAAAAAAAACGAAGTTCATCGCGGGTTGAAAAAAATTGATTTCTCCTGAAAAATTGGAAGAAAAATACTATGCCCATTCAGGAATTTCGTAAAGGTCATCCGCCTTCCGAGAGTTTCCGCTTCTATGCTTCGCCTAGCGCCATTTACGTGATGGAACTTGTTTGTACTCCTGTATCAGTTCACATGTGAACTGCGTAGTATCGTGAGACGCACCCGGAAGAATTCGTTACTCTCATATGCGCAGCAATCGGGCCTCCGGGGAAACCAAATTTTAAGAACACTTCAGGAATGCTTCCCTTTATCAAAGCGACAAAAGTGGAGGTTGAATTAGAAGTTCACCTGCACTAACGAATTGATGGTTGAGTGAAGACGGACGTCACGCAATTTTCTTCCGGTCATTCACACTAATTGATCGGGCAACCGATTACGAATACTCTCTCAAATATCAGTTCTTTCTTTTCTAAAAATCTCGTCGAAAATTTCCCTGAATCAATCTTTTCAATTGCAAGGCGAGACACCTCTAGCTTAGCTTTGTGGCATCAGCGATTATGAACGACGATACTTCACGCTATCTCTGAGAAACGACGGCCTTCCAGAATGTCCACCAGTTCTCATTCACGCTTCAGTTTCACGAATACAGTACTGTATTTGGTTTGTGTTCCGAACTAGTGGGGAAACACCTTGGGAATGGCACAAAGCATGAGATAGCCCCAGTAGATGAAAATGAAAAATCATATTTGGCACAAAGCCTTTCGAAATGCTTCATTTTAGAATAATCATTGAGTAGATGATCGTGTTCAACATTACAATTTAAATAAAATACTGTGAACCAGCAAAAATGGAGGTGGGCATCTCTTGTGGGAATACATTTTTGGGCAATGTCCACACCACAAAAACTAAGGGGCTTGTCCTGGTCAGGGGCACGTGATACTCGATAAATATGGTACCTGCTATACCCCTCCTCAAAGCGTCTGCTCTAGAAGAAGCTTGCTACCCACTCGTTGGAAAGCCTCACAGTACTGAATGCATCCAAGCAGTTCAGTTTAAAAAACATTACAAAACGTAGAACACAACCCGGTTCTGCCTCTTTCTTCAGTATTACTCAGTCACCTTCATCACCCTTGTTCAGCGACGCGCAGAATGACAAATAAGGTTATCATTGCCAGTTTCTCAGCTTTTCTTCCGACAGTCATACAATTTCCATTTCGCCATATACACGATTGCAGCGAAAAAAAACGAAGAATTTAGTGCATTGGTCAACCTTTTCCACATTCTGCGGGATGGCCCACAATCATTCAAACGCACGCCACAAGCCCGAACATTTCTACGTGGATGAGGAAAATTTAAGTAATGCAAAATTTAAACAAATTCTCAGCATACCATCTCGATCATGAAATTCGTCTGACGTGGTTTTCACCGCTGATAAAAAACACCCAAATATCCTCGGAATGGATGCATTCGACTCTTATTTTAAACTTTCCGACACCCCAAAAAAGCAAATGTTCCCAACAAACGCCAAAAATCGCGGACACAAACAGGTGTGGGCAAAACTTGCGGGAAAAAACTCGAAGCTACACAGTGAATTAACTCGAAAATACGAATTGACAAGATTTACTCGAGTAATGGACGCATCACATCATTTGCATCCGCGCTCAGCACAATATATCTGAAAATCACGGAACTCTTTCGGCATCACAGATNAAAAAAACGAAGTTCATCGCGGGTTGAAAAAAATTGATTTCTCCTGAAAAATTGAAAGAAAAATACTATGCCCATTCAGGAATTTCGTAAAGGTCATCCGCCTTCCGAGAGTTTCCGCTTCTATGCTTCGCCTAGCGCCATTTACGTGATGGAACTTGTTTGTACTCCTGTATCAGTTCACATGTGAACTGCGTAGTATCGTGAGACGCACCCGGAAGAATTCGTTACTCTCATATGCGCAGCAATCGGGCCTCCGGGGAAACCAAATTTTAAGAACACTTTAGGAATGCTTCCCTTTATCAAAGGGACAAAAGTGGAGGTTGAATTAGAAGTTCACCTGCACTAACGAATTCATGGTTGAGTGAAGACGGACGTCACGCAATTTTCTTCCGGTCATTCACACTAATTGATCGGGCAACCGATTACGATTAATCTCTCAAATATCTGTTCTTGCTTTTCTAAAAATCTCGTCGAAAATTTCCTTGAATCAATCTTTCCAATTGCAAGGCGAGACACCTCTAGCTTAGCTTTGTGGCCTCAGCGATTATGAACGACGATACTTCACGCTATCTCAGAGAAACGACGGCCTTCCAGAATGTCCACCAGTTCTCATATTCACACTTCAGTTTCACGAATACAGTACTGTATTTGGTTCTTCGTGTTCCGAACTAGTGGGGAAACACTTTGGGAATGGCACAAACCATGAGATAGCCCCAGTAGATGAAAATGAAAAATCATATTTGGCACAAAGCCTTTTGAAATGCTTCATTTTAGAATAATCATTGAGTAGATGATCGTGTTCAACATTACAATTTAAATAAAATTATACTGTGAACCAGCAAAAATGGAGGTGTGCATCTCTTGTGGGGATACATTTCTGGGCAATGTCCACACCACAAAAACTAAGGTGCTTGTCCTGGTCAGGGGCACGTGATACTCGATAAATATGGTACCTGCCATACCACTCCTCAAAGCGTCTGCTCTAGAAGAAGCTTGCTACCCACTCGTTGGAAAGCCTCACAGTACTGAATGCATCCAAGCAGTTCAGTTTAAACAAAAAATTACAAAACGTAGAACACAACCCGGTTCTGCCTCTTTCTTCAGTATTACTCAGTCACCTTCATCACCCTTGTTCAGCGAGGCGCAGAATGACAAATAAGGTTATCATTGCCAGTTTCTCAGCTTTTTTTCCGACAGTCATACAATTTCCATTTTGCCATATACACGATTGCAGCGAAAAAACACGAAGAATTTAGTGCATTGGTCAACCTTTTCCACATTCTGCGGGATGGCCCACAATCATTCAAACGCACGCCACAAGCCCGAACATTTCTACGTGAATGAGGAAAATTTAAGTAATGCAAAATTTAAACAAATTCTCAGCATACCATCTCGATCATGAAATTCGTCTGACGTGGTTTTCACCGCTGATAACAAACACCCAAATATCCTCGGAATGGATGCATTCGACTCTTATTTTAAACTTTCCGACACCCAAAAAAAGCAAATGTTCCCAACAAACGTCAAAAATCGCGGACACAAACAGGTGTGGCCAAAACTTGGCCCTTTTTTGAGCTTCGATGTGTCACTTAATTGAGCTTTTATGCTTAACTGTTCTAAATGAGCTCATTACCTGCGTAGTGTAGTAAACGTAGGCGCGAGTCGTGTTATATAGACTTTTAGTGCCTTGTCTTTCGGCATCACAGATCTCCCTTCTTCTCGAATAATTCTCGTTGCAGAATACCATATTTTTTCAAATCACGACAACGTGCAGTTCTTGTTCGAATTATTCGCAGGAGCGTTTGCCAATATTCCGCGGCGACGTGCGTCTTGTTCGCTGGCCGATAAAGCTCTAGCTAACATCTCGTCTTCGCTGATCTGCTGGTCATTGCTCAAATATTCGAAGGCGTCAGGTGTTGGCTGTTGCATGGACAACTGCAATGCTCGAGCCAGGGCTTCGTCTTCTGACTAAAAAAAAGAAAAGATCGACTAATATGAATGGAAATTACGTTAATGATTACATTTCTCGAAGTGAGATAATGCTTTACACATTCCTACAGAAATGCGTCCACGGACTCAGAACAGAAATCAGGCATATGAATACTGTTGCAAACGTAGCAATGCGTGTTAGCGATTACGCTGGTTGTTTCAGAAATTGAGGTTGACAGCGCATATTAATTTCAGAGGCATTTTAAGCATGGGTCAATTTTTTTGGTAACCATTAAAGCCGAACCACGTAAACAATTATCTATCACTAGGGGCTTCACTACAACAGCTTCGAAAACACCGACATGAATAAATCAATACATCAATTGATCCGAGAAAAAAGCTTACCATATCGGCTTGCAAAGATCCGAACCGTGCTGCGCTAGCTGCAACAGGATTTCCAGGTCGCGAGCGCATTTCAGTAGCTGGTTTCCTTGCTCCAGTCGGCTTAGGTTGAGAACGACCCGGCTGAGACGCTCTGGAAATCGCAGCTGCGGCCCTGGAGAATAAACATTACATTATGATGTCGTTAGAACAAAAAATATTTCAAGTGCTAGACACCGACTCCAACCCTACGACTGGACACTCTCCGGCTGACGAACGACGCGACGGACGATCAGAACGAATACGAGAACGCTCATTGCCGCGACGATCGCTATCCTGAATAGAATGAAATCTGAACAACAATAATTCATGAAACTGAGGGTCCAAAAAATTCAAAAACTTCACCATCAGGCACAAGAGCTGATCGTAACATTCGAGACATGTTCTACAAGGTTACATGACTCTGATGAGTAGCGCTCACATCACACGTTAGATATATTCGGTACAAAACAATGCAGGTGAACTGAACGAACGATAATATTTCAGTACAAAATTACCGTTCACTTGTCTGAATTTATTTCTTGGGCTACGAGCAGTCTAAGAAAAATGGTTCTGAACTTCTGATTTCATCTACACGATCGACGGAACAACTATATCGCCATCATAACTTGCATCAAATATTACGCAAATATCAAGTGTGAGGTTCAACTGAAGCATTTCATTCACTGAAGAATTTCATTCACTTCACATTCTTGAACCGAGTTAACCTACTTGACTCGAACAAAAATTTTCAACATACGCAGATGCTGAAGGTTCACGTCCTCGAAGGTCGCGAGTGCACTTGTGATCAGCTCCCAAGCGATGGGAAAGGCAGAAGTTTTGACCACAATCCGGACAGGATATCGGAACCATTTCTTTCCGTTTGCATCCTTTCATTGAACATTTATTGGCGTACACCTGCATAAAACGCGTGAGATTCGATTTTTGTTTTCGGTAAAATGAACTCGACTCTTCAAGATTGCTCGTTCTCTCACCTTTTTTCGAGAGAGAGCCACATCGGAGTTACAGTTATTGTCTATGTGTTCCCCAACTTTTATATCAGGTTGCTCTCCACGTTTTACAGGCACTGCAATTCCACAAAGCGGACAAACTGGAACTTGAACGTCGCGCTGCAACGCTCCGGAACAGTCGTGAGCAGCATAGGAATAATGGTCGTTGCTATAAAAAAAAAAAAGTCATCACGATGGCTCTGCTGAAATCTCATGCAGGAACTCACCAAAAAACCTTACCACAGGCATCGCATTTCACCGGTAGAAAATCTGAGGAGAGAAAGAAGTTAGCTACGCATCGAGCACTCACAGAACAATGCGACTTACCCAACCGATTGCACGACATCATTGAGCAATGTTTTCCCAGGTGTGGAAACTCCATCTTACGTTCAACTGTAAACTGCAATTTTCAATAATTCGAACAATTCAGGTTCAAAGCGATTTCAAGCTAGCCAGAGTAACCCGTACGCGTAAGTTAACCTAGCACGCATCAGAAATGACAAGTCAAGGGTGCAGCAACGCAGTCACCTTTCTCTCGAACAGCGAGTTTCACGAGTACGAACTACAGACTGAAAAGAAAATCCAGATCCGACCAGAATCAGGTTAAGCTGAAGGTTCCAGAATGCGCGCGAAACATCGGATAGCGTTCCACGTCACAAGAATGATTCAACGGAATGACTGTCCACCGTCGCTTCCACAGCACCGAAACTCACCTGCTTCATACGTTCGTCACGATCACAGGAGTTATGAATCACATGCATACAACAAGCAGCGGCTCGTCGAGAAACTGAAGTAGCCACAGCTTTCAGTACAATGAAGGGCGCAATATATTCAGGGCCAGTCGCGCTACCGTCCCGCGCGGAACAATCATCTATTCTACCGAACGCTGGAGCGCGGCGATGAAACCTTCCGCACACTCAAGGCGAAGTACCTCCGCAATTTACTCTTCCCGTCAACAGGTCGAGCTCACCACAACAAGAATCGCCTCACGAACGTAACGTTTCCCTGATCACCCTCTCGAGTCAGGACTCGTTCTTGTTATGCGATGCATGCCATTTTGATAGAGACAAGAACGGAAAACTCTAAGAGCTTATCATGATTTTGAGACAGCAATGGACCTGCGGGATGTCCGGCACGTCCCATCTTAACAGAAAAGTACAGTATATGTATCGCAATTTCTTTAAATAATAAGCAAATTTGTATCAACAAGTACGATTTCCCAAGTACGCTTCCGACATAATTTTGAAAGTTGTATTTTCTTTGAAAATGCGCACATTTCGGGGACGTTTTCCAAGGAACGTGAGTGACACCGAAGGCACGATGAGCGGCGCCAAAATATTTCTTTCTAAATTTAAACCTTCCGTATAGACGCGTCTGCCCGAGAAAAAACAGATGTGATTCTATAGCTCTACAACAACGGGTCCAACGTTCATTCTTCTGGTGGTCTCGATTTTAGTGAGGTCTTTTCAAAGTGAAGAAATATATAGGGACTTCGATACTCAGTAAAACGTGACATTGATGCATATTTAAACATTTGATACACTTTAAAAGTTTCGTGTTCTGCATGACAAATGTTGGATGTAGAGAGCGATGTCAGGGATTCCCTATAGTGGATAATTTCGTGACATGAGGATTCTCGAACTTTTGAGATCATTTTGAAATGAATTTTGTCGAAGACTGAATTCGCCACAAAATCCAATTTGAACAGCGATCCCAGTTCGAAGAATATCCGACGAGAACTCCAAAAAATTGACATAATCTCGCGTCTACAAAAATTCTGCCTGATTTCTCTCCTATAAACATGAATGTAATTCCAGTCCGAAATATTTTTCAATAATATTTTCCGTCAACCTCGAAAAGAAGAGATGGTTGAGATTGAATATATAAACATATTTTTCTGAGAAAACTTCCAGTGATGTCCGTAATTTGCATAAAAATTAGAGTAAGTTAAATAAAAGAAGAGAAAAATGAAGTACATTTGCTAGCTACGATAGGGGTTACACGGTTCCACGCGGATCAGCTTGTTGCTGCTGTTCTGCTGGGGAAGCGTCAAAATTTAACTGAACATTTCAATATACGGCCTGTTTCAACGCATGAATCAAAAGGGCTGAGAAGTGTGTAAAAATTGGTGGTGATTATATTGAGAGGGTGTCTGCCTAGCCTCTTGGAACTGGTGAACATGATGAAAATGTTTTAAAGGAGCCCTGGTGAAGTGGTGAGATAGTGTTCAGATCATTTCAAGTCCGCGCCCGAACGGGTCCGCGCGGAACTGTGTAACTCTTCATATTGCTTCAATTCGTTAGAATTAATATCAGGTTATATGTTTTTTTATGCTTTCATGTAAGATCACTGCCAATTCAAACTTTATTTCTCTATGAAACGGCTTAAATTTGAAGTGACACGTATTAGTGACATTAATTATTAAATAATTTTTAACTCATTAATAGGGAGACGAGGATCCGGAATTTAGCGTCCCAAAGTAGGTTTTCCTGTACATACTCTCGCGCAGTATAGTTCCGAATAGTCCAAACTTAGTGTTTTCTCGTCGAATTTAAGGAGTATCCTGTCCAGAGACATATAGAAACTATATGTGAAAGAATGGAATGCTGGAATTGTGCGGAATTTTCTCTGATAATTTATTACAGACAGCATTTGTTTTGGTCGGTGCTGGTTTGTGCCAACGTAAATGTGAACCCCGTCAGTTCCGTGGGGTGGTACCGAACACAAATCATTTGAAATTGCTTCATATGCTGCATGCAGGCAGTGTGTGCAAAATTCCTTCCTTCCTTATTGCTGAAGGAAAATGTATCCTTTTTATCTAAAATCTAGGATTCTGCATTTCCTGTACCGTGTTTTCTTTCTTGTTCGCTTTATCGGCCTTTTATTCTTTTTGCTTCGTTTCGTCGTGTCTTGTTTGTTTAACGCGTCACGTCATCTACAACATCTCGCCAATCCCACTTGCTTTTTTTTTTTTCGCTACTACCGTTCCCATCTTGAAGAAAGGGTCTCCAAACTTTCCTCCATGTCATATGTTTATTTATCTTTTTTTTTCATGTGCTGCGTAAATAAGAAGCCGCTTTTTCATGTTAATGTTCACTTTTCCTCAAACGAGGGCGAAGTCTTCGATTAAGGAGCGGGATTTATTTTATTATTATTATTATTTTGGTGTGATATCTTCATTTTATTCACAGGGCAAATAGGAAATAGTTTTGAAAGCATTTCATTTGCATTTCTAAAATATTTTACATCTCAGCAGCTTCTTCAGAAATTTAGTTTTCGATGCTTCAGAAGATTTGAAGTTCATTTTTAATCCAATGAATTTCTATCCAATAACCATACAGAACGAAAGGAAATTACAGAATTATTCTCGTGAATAAGTCTGAAACAGCTTATTTACCTCTTCAAGAAACTTGATCAGAAAGCAAATGAATTTTGACTTTCGGAATGTTCTCTCTACTCTATACGCGTATATGGATCAGATGGAATGAGTTTATTGAGAATTTTTTAATCTTGTGCAATTCTTGCACTAATACACTCGGTGACATAAATTTTAACTCGTAAGGTTAAAATGTTAGGTTTCCAGGAAACCTTCCGAAATTTGAAGTTGACGTTTTTTTTCGATAATAAATTTGGCTGAATTTCTCGCAAGGAGAAGTTAAGGTTTACCGTCTATACAGCGAAGAAAGGAAGTCTAGGTCTCATGAACTCTTTATTAATATTCCCACACAGACTTTCGTCTTTACCTACTACTTACTTATAGATGTAAGATACTAAACTAGATGATTTAAGAAAATGAGGTACATACTGTATTTTCAAAATAGAATTGTTATGCAATATCACAAATAATAATCTGCTGATGCTGGTCATTCCAGCTCTGAATAAGTTCAGCGGTGGCATTCGTCTATCCTCCCTCAATTTTTTTGAGGTCGAATACCGACAACAGCTTGACGACCCCGATGTCGAGAATGAGAGGATTTGTGTGCATGGTTTTATGTTATCTCCTGAGGGTTTTCAGTGACTATGCAGAAGTTGTTTGGCCTCGTTTTGAAAGTTGGGTAGATTCGCACAAATAAGCATAAAAACTTCTGGGTGATCTTCGGGTGTGACGAGGACGCGGTTTCTGGCGAAACCTCGCGTTTTCTCAGTGACTCGCACTTGAACTTTCGGTTCAACTCGGATTTGATATTTTTCAGAAAAAATTAACGAACTCCAGAACAAGGAATTCCTTTTGAAATTTTGCAATTACTTTCGGAATTTTCCAAGAGAGTCGAGCGTGTAGACAATTTTAAAGATCGAATGATATTTTCGGATATCATCTATAATAAATGCGGAAAAAACCCTTTGAGATGTCTTCTTATAGGAATATCCTCGTTTTCTCGATCCTCCCAGGAAAAGATACGTTTTGAATTTTTATTCTTCTATTTTCAGGTGATGTCACTTGAAAGATTTATTCATGGCCGATGTTCAAACCCAAAAAAGGAATAGTTCAAAACATTTCTTTCAAACCCCCAAATCCTTCGCCAAATAAAATTACGCTATGACTCTTAGATTTCGTTGCTCATCCTGTAAATTCGAGATAACCCCTCATACGTTCAGCCGTGGTCCATTTTCGAGGGAAAACGAAGATAAAAAGTCTCATAGTCTCTTATTTCTGAACGACGGAGATTTACGGCTGTATTTATTTGTTGGTCGATCAGACTTGGACAAATTATTTGCATAGTTTTGTGATTTTCTTATACGAATTTTAGGGATGCTCTTATTTGGAAATAATATGTAAACAGGGTATTCAGAAATTCACACATAAGTGTAAAGATCATCTTCGTTTCTCATCGTCGGTGAGAAATCCTCTGCCGGCAGTACTTTGTTGGTACTGTCGGCTGCGAACTAGGGCAAGTACCGCGAAGCATGAAAAAAAAAACTTTTGTTTCTTTTGAGTATATGAGAAGACATTTATTTAATCCTTTGGCTTCTTTTCTGTTAATCCTTTTTTTCCAAAACCTTCAGCACCCAGATATGGTCGATCATTTATTCGACGGAAACTATCAAGAAAAACCCACCGACACTCTTTTCCGCAGCATCACGCCACCCTCATGCCTCATCGTCCTTTTCACCCGTCGCACGAAATATTAATAACTTACCAAGTCTTGATTGAGCTTGTACAGTATATAGAGAAATTCCAAAGACTTGTGGCATTCATTGAAGAGATTCAGGAAAAAATAAAATGCTAAGTACTGTAAGTAAAATGAATCAGAAAGTTGCTGAACTGTGTCATGCAGCCGGGGTTTTCTGTCTCATCGTCAATGCGATCGCAAAACAAATTTTCTCGGGCGATGTGAATGCCTGATAATAAGGTAAATGCATGATTACACATTAAAGACTAAGTTTCGATTCATATGGCGGATAAAAATTTGATGACATTGTAGAGCAATTTAATTAGAACTTAAATTATATTTTCAATACTTGAACCCTAATACTTTGATGCATTCGTCATTCAAAATTCAAAAGAATAAGGATATTTTCCTGCAATGTAATGCTAAAAAATTGAAAGGTAGATTTTCTACCAACATAATGCTTTAATTCAGTGTTTTAAATGAAAAAATATAATTTAAGGTTAATGATTGAGAAGATGCGTGTGCGTATTTTTAATAGATATATTCTACTATGTTTCCGTATATTCATTCATGAAAAATATCGAACGCTTGCTTTTTTCTAGGAGTGAATATTTTCCTAAAAGAAAACGAAATTAAATCAGGCGGATATTTTAAAGTGAAAGAACTTTTGAAACAAACGCCTTAAATTGGCTTTTTGAGCGAAAATACGGGCGAGTTCAGCTTGTCAGAGAAAAATAAAACGAACGATTCATGATGTCTGACGAAAGAGGAATACTGTATCAACGGGATTAACAATATTGTATTCGAATTCGTGTTTGAAATCGGCATATTTTTTGTTTGTTTCGGAAATGTTAATTAATATCTTTACCTGCGGTTAAAAAAAATGCAACAGAACTTCATTTTGAAATTTTGTCTCATTCTACAGATCGGATCAAAATATGTATATTTTAAAACAGCAAAGATTCTTGAACGGTTTGATGTTGAGGTTACCCCAATCGAAATATTCATTATCAAGATTCAATCGATTCCAAAAATATTCAAAAGAAAAAAAGTTCCTCACTTTGGGCAAGGTTTTATTGAATTTAAATGGGTTCTTTTGGTCGAGCATTTCTTTAAATTATTTTCAGAACAAGTTTGGCAATTTTTCCAGTTTCCTAAAATTCACTTTGATTGACTCCTGAATATTAAGGTCAAAACGAAATTCTTACAACATTAAGAAGAATTATTCAATAATGCAATTTTTCTGCTTCACAGAAATTTCTACTCTGGTCTGGGGTCACTCTGAAACATGTATTATATAGTCACGGTTTAAAAAAGTAGCATGTATTTTCAAAATTCTAGCCTAGGCCAAATTAAAGAGGATTTTATCTTCTTTTTTTTAAGCAAATGCTAACAACCCTCGAAGAGTATTCTACATGCTTTGCTGCACTCATGTAACAATTCATCCGGAATTCCAGGCAAAAAAACTGCAGTTTCGGTTGAACTTGGCCCAGCAGGTGAATCCGTATAGAAGTTAACGCTCTGTTGCATTTCTGCACACCGAGGACAGCTACACAAGTGAAGAAGTTATAGTGCTCACTTCCCCGTATATCTATTCTCTTTTTTTTTTAGCACGGCACGATATTTTGGCACAACTATACGGTTCCCGGATGTGGAATATATAGCTGCACTGACAAAAACCCGGAGAAATAGACACTCTTACCACCTGTTCTTCTGTCTGTATATGCATTAACCAACTTAACTTCACCATGGTTCTATGGGTCAGTGAAACAGAAAGAAACAAAACTTTGAAGCGAATTTATTTGCTTTTCTCAAATGTTTTGATTCAGCCATGAATACCTAATATTGCTGAAATCATGAAATACATTACCCTGTGGAAATAAATTGCGAAAATCAGATAGGGATGTACAATATACTGTAATTGTGAACTATAGGTTTCAAAAAATTCACAGGAATCTCTCCTATTATAATTGATGCGAAATGTCTGGATATTTTTTTTCAAACTCATGTTTCCACAAATAACAAATAATTGGAGGTAGAATTGTGTACACGCTTACGCGATAAATAATCTTTAAGGAACTTATAAAAAGGTGCTCAAGATTTTCAATAAGCTGCCTTGATCTTCGAACAGAAATATTTCGCTGACCTGAAACGCAAAAAGTAAAACAGTTGAAAGAAAATTGGACTTGGAAACAAAGATGAATCCGTTCAATTAGACGATCCATTTCAAAAAGCATGCACTGTATTCATATTTTACAGATCTTTTCTATCCTGGCGTTTTTTAAAGTTTGAGATATGAGAGGGACATTCTTTGAATTAGGGAGGCCTGAATAATGTTGATCACAAGAGAATCAAGAGGGGGGCGAAACACATTGGGAGGCTTTTGACTTGGAAAGGTTTGATTTAGCAGGGTCAAGCAGTACTTTAAATGAATTGTCGGTGTTTATGTATAGGTCCTTTTTTATTATTTTCCACACCCTTATAAAATCATCCGATTTCAAGCAAATTTATACATTTTTCCTCACCCAGGTATGAGGACTCCTACGTTTATCAATATCTATATAATCATTGAAACCCCTCCTGTTTAATTTTTTAATTAAATGCATATGCGTGAGCTATCTTTCTTTGGGTCCTATTTTAAAGTTATTGACAATTTGTATCCATAATACTGTTTCTTTAATGAATATTTAAAAAAAATACCTGAAAAGTGCCCACGGATTCCACGGGTTGAAAAGCACAAAGAATCTTACCCACTAGCTAGGAAATTCTCCTATAGTGTCAACCAGCACCGGGAATGTTGGAGTTGTCCCAAGGTTTCCGGGGGATGTTTATACAGTGACTCTCGCAGTCATGCATGTACTGTGGGAAACGTTGGGACATTTCGCCGGTTGTGTGACAAGTTGACAACTGACTGCCTGAGCACATCGTGGACCTAGTCTCAGAAGCGCGTCTTCAGTCTCTTTAGTCGTGGAGATGTTCCACCGGGGAACTGTTCTCGCTGTTTTTGCAAAAAAAATTAATATTAATGATGATGCGGTGATTAAAAACAAGTGAATTTCTTCATAATTTTTTTTAGTGCTTCAGAAAATAAAATGAGGGCGGCAGTGTCGGTGGCTGTGTTACTCCTAGTGTCGTCGGTAGTAGTAGTGTCAGGACTATGGAACGAGTTACTTCCGTTCGGGCCGGAAGAAGGGGATGTGTCACTTCCCAGCGACCGGGATGACGTTTCAAGTCCGGAAGTCACCTTGAAGGTCCCTATTTGGTTTTACGGGGACTCGTACGACTCCATTTATGTGAGTATATAATGGTTGGGAAAAGGGGGTTTTGTGCTGAATTTTGACGCAGCAGGATATTTCAGTCTTCTTCTTTTTTATTCGAAAACACGCTTGCTTTTTTTCGATTTTAAAAATATTTTTACAGCGTCTTCACGGACAGCAGGTAAACACTCGTGCATGCGTAAAAATATTCAAACTAAATTTTAATTTACAATATTGTACTTCTCACTGCCTTCATAATGAGCTAAAATTTTCCGAAGCAGAAACGTGCATCATCAAAAGTTAAAAATACAGTTATGCTACTTGCAGTTTTTCGATGATGAAGAAAACATACTTATGCTTAATTATGTTTTGTAACTCTTCGAAACATTTTTTTTACATTGTGTCTATTCTTCAAGACATTTAAAATTAATCTTCAGCACATCAGAAGAAAGTAAGTTGATGGTTTTGATTGCATTGGAAGAGATTTCATAAATTCGCTGAAAGTTTTCCGTGAATTGTTCAATCTTTTCCCGTTCGATTCAACGAGGCGAATTAATCACAACGAATCATTCTGGAATACCTTTTGAATCTAACTACAGGATTGGCTTCGTATTTTAAAAATTTCGATCCGAAAATTTCTGTATGTAAAAATAATGGAATGGTTCTCTTATCGATGTACAGGTTGGATCAAATGTATTTTCAAGTGTTCTGTGTCATCAGTTGAAAAGATTCGAACTCGACAGGTTGAATAAAAACGTGCGAAGATTTTCCAGATTCTTTCAGACGATGCCAAATTGTATGGTGCTGAATGTACTGCAATTACGGCAAATAACTTTAAAATCGTATACATAAATCACTGAATTCATTCTCCCGCAAAAAATTCTGCATCATGTGCTAGCCAAAAATTTACCCGTGGAGCCGCAGAATGGACCGCATTTGTAAAAAAAATTGAATGAGGATGACGTTCATTTAAAAAAAGGAATAATAAAGCTTCAAAAAGACACCGGAGTTTGAAAATTGATACATGTTTCTGACGCCATACAACGAAAGTAGATAAATTAAACTGATATACAATTTGTATAGCTTCTCCTTTAATATCGGAACTGGTTTCGGATACGAATTTATTTTCTTCGTTATTTACTCCGTCATTTTTCAGGCAGTGAAAAGGTTTTTCAAACGTAGTTCTTCAAAGCGGATTCATCTTGTAACATTTATCAAGCTTATTCAATGAGAAATGAAATTATTCAAAATTCAGATTTTCTTATAGTTTTCGAGAACAAGGTAAGAAGATTTCAGGCAAAAACCAATATGACCCAGGTTCAAACTTGCAAATTCGTAATTTTCTGATTATTTTTGCAAGCGTAATTTTCGAAGAGCAAATTCTGAAAAGTTAAACAAAGTATGCTTTGATTTTGTGATTATGATGATGATTATACTGCATGTAAATTTAAAAAAGGGTTCCAGAAGTATTTCTTTTCATAAGAGCGAAATAAACCGCGATGCTTCATCAACGGTGTATCGCGAAAAAAAAAAAACTCGTCAGGGCTTTAAAATGATAGCATTATTGTAATAGTTGGGACATAATATTTTTAACAATTTTGCCGTTAAAAATAACTCGTGGTTTATTTCCAAAGGTGAATTCAAACGGCTTGCTGTCTTTCATCACTGAAATACCCAGCTTCGTGAATGTGCCTTTCCCGCTGAATTATCCAACAATTTCCCCTTTTCGGTTGAACTTGGCCCAGCAGGTGAATCCGTATAGAAGTTAACGCTCTGTTGCATTTCTGCACACCGAGGACAGCTACACAAGTGAAGAAGTTATAGTGCTCACTTCCCCGTATATCTATTCTCTTTTTTTTTTCGGCACGATATTTTGGCACAACTATACGGTTCCCGGATGTGGAATATATAGCTGCACTGACAAAAACCCGGAGAAATAGACACTCTTACCACCTGCTCTTCTGTCTGTATGCATAAACCAACTTAACTTCACCGTGGTTATATGGGTCAGTGAAACAGAAAGAAACAACACTTTGAAGCGAATTTATTTGCTTTTCTCAAATGTTTTGATTCAGCCATGAATACCTAATATTGCTGAAATCATGAAATACATTACCTTGTGGAAATAAATTGCGAAAATCAGATCGGGATGTACAAAATACTGTACAGGTTTCAAAAAATTCACAGGAATCTTTCCTATTATAATTGATGCGAAATCTGTGCGGAATTTTTTCCTCTTAATAAAAGGGAGCAACTAAAATTGTTTGTGCAATAATCGGCGCGTCTCGGGACGCGCCTACAGCTGCTAGCAAACC